AGGGTGCCCACGACGGGGACCCCCTCCCGCTGCAGGCCGTGCCCCGCATGCGCTCCGGGGCTCGCGAGACGCTCTGGGGTGCGAGGCGGGGCCCTGTGTGTGCTCCGGACGAGGACGGGGCACCTCGGCCTCCCCTCGGTCACCCTGGGGCAGCGAGTCACGGAGAAAGGACTGTGGCCGGTGCCTGGGCACTGCTGTCCCCACGGGCTGAGCGCTGGGCCAGGCCAGGGCCCTCTCCCAAAGGGCCAGGCTGCTTATGTCCACCCAGGAGGTGATCGGCCTGCTGGAGGTGGGAGCTGCCCCTCAGGGGCCGCCAGCCTGCTCCTGTTCATCACCTGTTAGCCATGAGGGTGTTGCTCAGTTGCACTTGAACCCCTGAAAAGAAAAAAAAAAAAACAGATATGAACCCCGAGGCTTTGCCCGCTCACCCGGAGACCCCAGCCGCTCCTGTTCCCCATCCCTGGTCAGCGGAAGCTCTCTGATCCCGCGGAGGTGGCGCGGGCCTGAGAGCGGGCCCTGCTAGTCCAGAGGCCGCAACAGAGCCTCGCCCAGAAGCTCACACACGGCCACTCGGGCGCTGGATTCCAAGCGGGAGTGTTTCTGAGCAAACGGAATTTTCGGGAGCACCTCTGTGGTCAACACAGCAAAGAGTTTCCACGCCAGGGCGCCCAAGCGCGGGGTCTCCAGCTCCCTAGCGCGGCCAGATGCAGACCCGCTCTGCCCCTGAGGGACGGTGGCCCCTGCGGAGCGCAGGTGCAGGGAGGGGAGGCGCTCTGAGCTGGACGACATCAGCGCGCTCTCCCGGCCCCACAGCCCCGCCGGCTCCTCCTCTCCCGGCTAAGAGATAACCAGGCGCTTCGCGGCGAGGACGCAGCTGCGCGTGGCACAGCGCCACAAAAGACCCTGGTGCGCCCTCGACTGAAACATCACCCCTCGGCCTACTGGTGGCGCGAGGGGTTCAAGCACAGCGCTGTGAAGCTGTCCACAGCCGCTGCAGTACGAGTTCAATCCCCGGCCAGCGAGGGACCCCCAGGGCACGGCAGACCCCTCCTGTCTCCCCGCTGCGCCCCTCAGCAGTGGATTTCAGGAGATCCACCTGTTCTGCTCCCCGCTCTGTCTCAGGTGAGTCCTCACCCCTACACACACCTCTGCCTGTACCCCTGTTCTTGTGTGCAGAAATAAAACAAACAGTGCATCACCCCTGGCGGGGAAGCAGAAGGGAAGCAGAGAGCCCCGAGGTGATTTGCCGCAAGGGGGGATAAGCCAGTGAGGGGCCCGCTGGGCATGAGGGCTCCCCGCGCCCCAGCTTGGGCTGGACACAGGCTCTGGTCGGGGCTGTTGCACCTCAAAGGCTCAGAGAGACACTGATCCAGGACAAGTTACCAAAAGTGAGCGTGAACTAGACTCGGAAGGATAAGGAGCCGCTCCCAAGGTGGAGGAGGAGGGGAAGACGTGCTCGGGACGAATGATGCAGCGGTAATTAAAGTCGGGGCGGGGGACTCGGCGTGAACAGGGCCAGAGTGGGATGCAGATGGCGCAGACACTCAGAGCGCGTGCCGTGCAGGAACGGCACGCAGGCCAGGCCTGAGGAGCGACGGTGATTCCAGGGCAGGCTTCAGCCTCAGACGGTGTCCGCAGCGGGAGGGTCTGGTGCGTGAGAAAGGCTGTCCAGGCAGGGCGACACTCGCTGCCTAGTGGGCCGAAAGTGCCCTTCTTGGAGTGGGTGTGGGGTCAGGAGCCACCGGGTGGGCACTTAGAGGCCGAGGGGGCAGAGCTCCAGGAATGGAAAATGAAAATTTGGAGTGAGAATTGGTAGATCGCTTGAGCATAGGAAACGCTAAAGTCATGTCTGTCCTCCGGGCTGCTTGTGAGGTCAGTGAAGGCGACGGGGGTGAGTCTTCACGTCCAATCTCATTCACTATGAAATATCCAAAATGCAAAATTACTGTTTAAAAGATTCCAGATTGGAAAATGGCAACTTACGTGTTGAGATTTTGCGAAATGTCGAATCCTTTATCTTGATTAGAATTTTGCCTCTCGAGTCATAAAAGAAGCAGTTGATTGTCAAAAGGAATGTTTAATCAAATTAAATATCTCAAAATCGATACTTACTTATACCTGGCCATAACACGCCAAAGCACTCAAGTGTGTCATTTATTGCACGGTACAGAATGTTTCAAAAACTGGTCATGCTCATCGTATGTCCTGCATCACACAAGATTGGGGTAACGGAGCGTCATCCTGAAGCAAAGTTGACAGAGAAAAATAAGTAAATTGTCAAAACCTCCTACTTGCTCAGCTCCAGCTTGACGCCTTTTTTCATGCCACCAGCTTCACTGCTCTCCGTAATTAATGGCTCTTATCTTGTCACTGATAGTGCTGTGGTTGGCCATTAGGACTCAGGCTTCTGGGGGACCCGATGAAACAAATGCGGCTCTCAGCTCCGCCGCCCGCCAGTGGCCATAGTTTCATAAGACGATTGTTAGAATTCAACATAGTCGCGAACAGAACGGACCTAAAACAGTGCCTGCGCGTGGTTAATGTGCCATAAACATTAACCATAACAGCACCCTCGGTAATAATTGTATGTCCTTAATTTGTCACTGCATCCTTCACTGCTCAAAGTATCCTTTTCCAGCCTTGAGCAAGATTTCGTTTCTGTATGTCCCAGCACCTTGCACAATGCTCACCATACAGATAAGTTGTGTCTCCTGTTAAGCGAACGAGTCATTCAACTCCATTACACTGGGATTCTGGTTCACGTCACTTAGGGGTGGAATTTGTCTTTTGTGACTTAGCATTCCTGGGGCCTCTCATTGGGATCCATGACAGGATTTATCGAGAGCCCTATCCAAGTCAGCCAGCCCGTGTGCTTCCGGGATCCATTCAAAAACTCAGTTTACCAAGAGTTTCCTCAAGTCCTTTACGTGTTCAGAGTGTGATGGCAAAGTACTGTTTTGGCCTCCAGTCAGAAGAAAAGGAGGAAATGGGACAGAAGAACTGTTTTTGTTTTGTTCCCACCAGACCTGTTTTTAGAAAGGGACCCATGCGCATCTGAGAAATGTTGGGGGAGGGGTTGCATTTCAAGGCCCAGGACTTGGAATTTGGGGAGGGGGGGCTGCCTATAATATGGGCTCCGGCCAGTTGCCAGCCTGTGGGCCATGACAGAAGGCCTCTCTGAAAAGGTAGCGTTCAACTTGACAGCAAAGTGACAAAAGTGATTTCCACCTGTCAGCATCTCGGAGTCGGTGATCATTTACAAAGGGTGTTTGCAAACCCGGTACAGTAAATAATCTTTTCCAGTCATCAGCCAGCTTGAGATGAGAGATCCCATAATGAATACAGATAACGGGTAGGTGGGGAAAAGTCAATTATGTGCCAATTTTTTCAAATCGAAACACTTCATAAGAATGACGATAGCGGCCCTCTCTGGTGGCACAACGGGTTAAGACGCAGCACTGCAAGCTGGCCACAGTTACTTCTGTGCAAGTTCACTCCCCGCCACAGAGTGTGGCAGACCGCTCCTGACCTGCCTGCTGCTCCCCTCAGCAGTGGACTTCATCATCTGCCTGTTCTGCTCCCCGCTCTGTCTCTGG